AGAAAATGACAGAAATTAGCAGAAACCTGCTGTCAGAACTTAGACAATAATGAAAGTAAAACACACTCTGACACTCAGGTGAAGGAACTGTGGACACAAATGACCCAAACAAGGAGAACTCACTGAGTCAGCTGGCCAAAACAGAGATCTCCCTTACCCTCACCAACAAGTTTGAGCTGCTGGATGGAGATGACAAAGACATGAAGGGACTAATGACAAAGTAAGGGAGCAAGTAATCATCACTTCTTCAACTGCCTTAAAATGTGAAATGTCCTCACATAATATCTCTCTTGTCACACTCAACTATTCTTCACTGTCCTCATTTCCTGTCTTCATATCTCTCCTTACCCATGGGAGGAAGTGGTTTGGTGACCAGTTTTATCTTCACTTCTAAAAAGGGCCTCTTGACTCACTTTGTGTAATTAGCCTTGTTAAGTAAAGGCCTGTTCACACCAAGATGATTTAGTGTGTAAATTCAGTGCGACAAACATTTTACATTTCAATATTAATGTGTCTGTTTAAAACAACACAAACATTTGGATGCCTTGAATACTTGAAAAACTACCTAGGACTCTTTCCATATGGTGCAGTATTTCTTTAGGGAGGAAGCAGGAAGAGTGACATCATAGCTCATTGTCTATATGTTTACACCCTGCTCCATTTCCATTTCCAAAAAAACACATCTGTGAGGCCCCTGTGACCCAGACGTGTCTGATCTTCTGTTTACAGACCATATAAACATGAATTACTGTAACCAGCCAGTTTGTGTATGTACATTGTGAGACAAATCACAAATGAGTCTGTGTTTTCCCAGCAAGCACTTTTGCTTTTACTACCAAACTCGTTCTCAAAGGGATAGTTTAATCAAATTTTACTATCATTTACTCTCCCTTATGTCGTTCCAAACCTGCATGAATTTGTTTCTTTCTTCTGTTGAACATAAAATATATTTTGAAGAATGTTCTTGTCCATTTAATAAAAAAGCCAAAACAACATTGGACCCCATTGACTGAATGTATAGACAAAAAAAAAACACTTCGACATATATACTCTTATGCTCAGCAGAAGAAAAAGTCAGAATATCAAACTGTTTTTAAAATCACAACAAGCATAAATTCAGTCAAGTTTGGACGGTTATTTCAATAAAAAATTAAGTTTTTTTCATTATGTCACCAGTATATTGGAGGCTTTATCAAGTCTTAATTGTGAGTGCCAAAGAAGTAGACTTGTATTGCATTATCTGCTGAACAATGTCAGCCCATATCTTACCATAAGAAAACGCAGAACATGTTGAGACACTCTGATAAGTGCATCCTCATCTTTGTTTGGCTGTCACTTTGCAGAACAAAGAAACTGATAGTGGATGTGGTGAAAATTCAACCAGGGGAGGCACTCACCGATATCCTGGAAACTCCCGCCTCTGCTGCACAGGTACCTGCCTTTGCCCCATGATCAAGATTGAATGGAGGCCAGTCTTCCAACAGATTCAGATGAAGTTCAGTCGATTAACCTCCAACCCTCTCTCTCTGGTGTTGTAGGAGGCAGAGCACGCAAAGCTTGTGGAGCGTCAGGTGGTGCAGGACTCTCAGACTCCAGAAGGGTTAAAGAGCAGCCAGGCCATGCTAGAAGACCGCCAGCTGCCTCTGGAGCAGAAGAAGAGGAAGATCCTCAGGAACCTGAGAACTCTAGAGCAGGCTGGTCTGGCCAGCTCGAAACACAAGTACCAGGAAGTCATCAATGACATCTCCAAGGTCAGGCCTTAATGACTTCATTCAGGGGTGCAGGAACTATGTGAAAAGAGCTTGGGGCACATTAATACTTGTGTATGGGATGAATGTAGATATTCCTGAGCCATATAATGATTGCTATGCCCTAAGCATCTATTAAATCCTGGCATGACCTTATCTTGCTCCCTTTAGGACTGCAGTGTACCATAAACACCTTCAACTAGGTTTAAGCTGTTAGGTCATGTCTTTTAGTCTGACTGTATTTGTAAAATATTTGTTTGTTTTTTTGCATGTGGCAGGACATTCGATACCAACGGCGCTATAGGCAGAGGAGGAAAGCCGAATTGGTGAAGTTGCAGCAGACTCTGACTGCGCTCAATTCCAAGGCGGCTTTCTATCAAGAACAGATCAACTACTATGACACATACATCAAAACCTGTCTGGATAACCTCAACAGAAAGTGAGTGGAGATACATGTAATGTTCTCTGGCAACTTTTCATATCTTGTACAAGCATGCAATAATCACTAAGAAATTCATTGTGTTGATACATAGATAAAATAATCTGCAATTTGATTAGCAAACAATTAATCAAGTACTAAAACAGATATATTATTCAATATATCATTCAATTAAATGTAGTCATTTAGAAAATAATGTTAAAATTGAAGTTATTTTTAATGTGATCATGACATTTTCATATATTTGCATTTTCAGTTTAATTATTGCTTTTCTTTATTATATTTTGCCTTTTTGTTAATTTCCTGCTGATTTGAGGTGCAGCACCAATCTGTTTATTCATTAATCAATTGAATGACTAACTTGCTTTCATTTTTTTATCTTATCCCCATGTTTAGACATTTTCATAAGTTATTTTCACATTTGATTGATTAATATCTCAAATAATTATTGAGTGGCACAATTGACACCCCCGCATAACCCAATTCACCAATGATACACAATAGCTTAAGAGGGGTACTTACTGGTGTGTAAATTGGGAAGTGTCCTATAAGACATATATTTCGCTAATGGTTGTTTCACCACCAGGAATTCACGAAGGTCCATTAAACTGGACAGAAAGGAAGACGAGAAGAGCACTAAGAAGTCCAAGGCCTCATCCCTGAAGTACACAGCTGCCAAACTGCATGAGAAAGGAGTCATTCTGGAGATCGAAGGCCTCCAGACTAATCAGTGTGTGCTTCCTCTTTACACCATTTCTTTTCATTCTAAGGCTAATAACTAATTGCATTGATAATGAGAAACTTTACATTGTGCCATAATAAAGCACATAAATATCTAAACCAGTGGTGTCCAAACCTGCTCCTGGAGGGCCACTGTCCTGCAGAGTTTAGCTCCAACTTGCCTCAAAAACACCTGCCTGCAAGCTTCTAGTATGCCTTGTTAAAACATAAGTAGCTGCTTCAGGTGTGTTTAATTGGGGTTGGAGCTAAACTCCTCTTCAGGAGAAGGTTGGGACACCCCTGATTTAAACTGACCCCAGATCAGTGGCTAGGACATATTTCACAAGATGATTTTCAGAGAATGCTTAATGCACAGTCAGCAGTTTGTGTGTTGCATTAGAGGGTGGGTAGTGCATTATAAGTTGTTTCCCATCCTGTTTTGCTCTTCCTCATGCAGCCCAAATGGGAGTTTAGTGAGTGACAAGCCAACTATTTCTGCTATCTCTTTAGGCAGATCAAAAGAATATTAATAATGTTATCTAACTATGTGATTTAGTCGTTTAATTTGTTGTCCGTTTCAGGAATGTATTATGTTTATAGTACTTTTTGACCAGGCACTACCAGTCATTTTGCACTCTAAGCCCCACCTATTCCAGTACTTCAGTAAGTGTTTTGTACGTTTCAGGTTAAAAAATGTCATGTTTGACATTTGCCCTTGTGAGGAAGTGGGTGACTTTGAGATAAAGGCCAAGCTTATGGGAGTTGAAATGGAGAAGGTGCAACTGCATTTCCAGGTCAGTTTCCAGGTGCACAGAGCCTGGCACAAGTTCTTCTCTTATGCATGCAGGATAATACTTTTATTAATTGGAATTGTATTTATGGTAACACCAATACAGAAATGTTTTTCATGTCTTGTTTTTTTTTTTTTTTTGTTATCAGGACCTGTTGCAGCTTCAGTATGAGGGAGTAGCGGTCATGAAAATGTTTGACAAGGCCAAAGTCAACGTCAATCTACTGATCTTCCTTTTGAACAAAAAGTTCTATGGAAAATGAGAAATATTTTGTTTGGAAATATGAACTAGCTATTAATGTTAGTTTACACTTTGCAAATTGTGCAAAAAGAATAGAACGTGCCTTTGGTTTTTAGATGTTTTTTGTAAAAGAAATGTCTTTGATCATTCAGGGTATTTGTGCAACTGTTTTTGCAGGTTTTCTGTATTTAATTAACTATAAAATGAGATCTCACCACTCTAAGAATATGATACATACGCTGTACATACATAGCATACTTTTGATTTTACTTACATTGAAAGGAAATTTAATCACCACAATCAAAGAAACAGATGTTCACAATATTTCATGATGATGACTGGAATTGATTAATTTTTTTTATTTTTATTGTGTATGGATTATATTTTTAAATACAAGTATAATTGAAAAATATATATTTGATGGCAAGTAATGTATTGAAAGCTGCAATGTTTTAATATTTTAAAAATGTAGAACGTGGGAATAACACAAATGACTCAAAATGCACTACTGCCGTGTGGCTGTTAAATAAGATAAACTGGAGGAGACTTTTCAAAGGCCTGTCATTAACCTAGTGCCTTTCATTTCTAAGTGCTCAACTGTACATCTTTTAAATATATACCTATTAAAGAGCATTCCTAAATGTTTTCAGTTAAAAGAAACGTGTACTGAGAAGGATTAATGTATTGGTTTTAATTAAATACATCTTACAACAAAACAGTGTGCGATTATTCATTTATGCGAGACTCAAGGGCTGTATTGTGAATCAAAAACCCAAGTGTAAATTCAGTACTAATAGCATACAATCAGATTTAAGTTGGTTTCAAATTAGGGCTCTTTTTTTTTTTGGTGTCATTTCTGTCCTCTAGAGTCTAGACGAAAAACTGCAACTTCATACTCTGTAAAAGCACTAGGTGAAACAAATCTAAAATAACAACCCTTAGAAATATCAAATTAAGTTAACATTTGTATCAACTAGTCGGGTTTAAGTGGATTTTAGAGTCTTGAGCTGCACGAGTAGGCGTTGACGTGCACGCGCCACACGGAGAGAATCCAGCATCCTCCCTCTAGTCTTTCCTGATGTCTTGAGAGCGTGCGCGATTAGGCACATTCGGAAAAAAGGCTTTGATGTAAAGAGTGTAAATCAAACAAAAAACAGGCATTTTGAGCTGCACTGTTTCTTTCAGTCGTGATGTTGAGGGTTGTGGTGTTGATGGGGCTGCTGGCTGTGGAGGGATCTGCGGCTGCGCTGCCCAATAACGGTAAGACACTTACAGCCTCTTTCTTTGCACTGAACAAACAGGGTAATCAACTTTAGTAACTTAAAGTTATTTGCTAAGCGGAGCTAAGTACATATTAGGTGCTTAGTTACTTTGAAATTAACTCGGTATTTGTTTGCACCGTTTATTCTTAAGGCAAGACTATTTGGGCGAAAGTTGAAATCATGCAACTCAGTTTATGGTAATTAATTTTTTTTATTTTTTTATTTAAATACCAAGTAATTATTAAATCTCTTCTGGGAAAAAGTTTAAACCAGCTTTGAAAAGTTAAGTAGCAATAATGAGCATTTTAGTAGGGATATTAGCATAAATATAATAAACATTAATCTACAATTAAAAATAAAGTTAAAATCAGGGGCAATAATGTTAAATGTCAGCAATACAACAGTGTTATTTTTAATTTTATTTTTATTTTTTTATTTTTGTAGACTAACTAAATACTAGTAATCATGAAATACCTTCTGTAAAAATAAATAAATAATTTAATTATCGATAGTCGCATCTGCGCGTTGTGCCTGGGAAACCGAAACATGAGAATGCTTTATAGGCTATAAGCGCTTCAAACTAAGCCTACTGCGTCTAGCCCTCTCGCGTTTTGACAGCGTGTGCTGTTTAATGCCTTTGACAAGTGTTTTCCTCAGCGCATAACATTATGGTTATCCTTGTCTGTAAATATTAGAAAGACCAGCGCATTTCCTTTTCGCATATTCTGACCTATGATTCTGACAAGCGTCACATGCTTCAATGAACGCGCGCCGGTGCGCGCATGCGCGTCAAACAGACGGAGCGCAGTAGAATAGCAGCGCAAACATTCTAAATAAATACACATTTTGCTAAAATATATATTTTTGTTAGAAATTAAGAGTAGGTTTAAAAATATGTAACACTAGTAATCATAATTACGAGAGTAGTAATAGCCCATTAATGTTGCAGGCCTAATATACGTTTAGGAGTGAATCTGTGTGTTCTTTGCGGTATAATAATAATAATACATGTATTTTATATAGCGCCTTTAAAAGTTGGTTTCTCAAAGCGCTTTCCAGGCAAACATAACAACAGAGAAAACTGCACATTTTAAATACAAAAATAAACAAATAAAATGAATTATCAAGTAAAAGCAATCCTAAATGGTGTGTGTATACCTCGTACACACTAGTATTGTGTGCTTTTTTTTGTTTCTTATAATTTTAGTCGTTTAAATTTCTGCTTTAAAATAAAAAAAGCAATCAGTTGATTTTAGTTTTAGAATGCATTTTAATCTTTTTTGCTTATAATACAACAGGTAGCCTACATTCACTATATTTGATGTTGTCATATGCTTTCTTGTACGCCTTGTTTGGAGGACAGAACTGGGCATGAAGGATGTAAAATATTATTGTTAAAAATATTAAAATAAAATAAATGACCTATTATTTAAAAAAAAGATATTTTTTATTTTTCATGTAGGCTATCTACAAAGTTGCAGCTCTATGACCAGGCAGAGAGACAAGATAAAACCAGCAAATTATGTAATATATAAAATATATCATAGGCTAATAAATATAATAAATTAATAATACAACTAAATAAAAAATAAAAAAAACCTGTTTGAATTTGTCCCATGTGTAACTGACGATAATTGTTAAGATTTATGTGACAATGCTTTCTTTCTTTTTTTCCTAAACATTTTACACTTTTTTTTCTTCAGGAACGTTAATTCGGACATTTTCGGGTTATTTCCTCACCGTCACCGATGAGCCAATATTTGATTATCTGGACGTGCAGGACGAAGGCAGCGGCTCCAGTTCGGGCCAAGCATCAAAACCCAGGAAAGATCACCACCACCCTGTGCCTAAAAAGACCTATCACATCTCTCAGGAGGCCTCCAGCTTCCTCACAGGCCGCGTGGTGACAGCTGTCATCCCTACAATATATATTATAGTGTTTATTATCAGCGCTCCTCTAAATCTGCTGGCGCTTGTCATGTTTGTGCGCAAAGTGAGACCAAAGAAACCGGCTGCGATTTATATGATGAATCTAGCCTGCGCTGACCTTCTGTTCGTCCTGGTCCTTCCGTTTAGAATAGCCTACAATTACAACGGAAATAACTGGATATACGGGGCTGGGATGTGTCGTTTCGTCACGGCTGCTTTCTACTGCAACATGTACTGCTCAGTGCTGCTGATTATGTGCATTAGTGTGGATCGCTTTATGGCTGTCGTCTACCCGATGGACTCGCTTACCTGGCGCAGTCCTCAAACCGCGTCCGTCGTGTGCGCCGCCATGTGGCTTTTGTCCATCGGCGGGGCGATGCCTTTGCTGATTTCCAATCAGACCATTCACTTACCTGACCTGGGCATAACCACGTGTCACGACGTCCTTGACATCCACCATCTCCGCGAGTATTACCTGTACTTCTTCCCTGTCATCTCTTCACTTTTCTTTTTCATTCCACTTATTTTTAGCACCGTCTGCTACGTGCGCATCATCCAGGCCTTGTGCGCAGCCAACGTGGAAAACCGTGCGAAAAAAACGCGGGCCGTTTTTATGGCGGTAACTGTTTTTGCCGTTTTCGTCATATGCTTCACACCAACAAACGTCATCCTGTTGGCGCATTACGTGCAGTTCGCTCGCAAGCAAAACGATGCGTCCTACGCCGCGTACCTGGTCTCCACGTGCATCGGGAGCGTCAGCTGCTGTCTGGACCCCCTCATCTACTACTTTGGGTCGTCTCAGTGCCAAAAACAGGTTCTCGCCTTTCTCAAGTGTCAGGAGGTCTCAGGCATGGAGAGGAGAGCACAGTTCACCAGCAGCACCATGTCAAGCAAGGTCGAGACTTTTAAAAGCAGCGTGAGCAACCAGTACAGGAAGCTGATGGCATGAAAAGCACTGCTGAAAAAGACAACAGGCTGGTCTGATGGCTGCTTTTAGACGGGTTTTGAGAACTTTACAGCTGGCCAGAGTGAGAGACTTTCTCAAACTAGCTGCAGCAGGTTTCCAAGGAGTTTCAATCACATTTCGTTTAACCAGGTCTAGCTCAGTAGAATGGTGGGGGTTGAGTGCTCTATCATTCATTGGAACTCTTTAATTATTCATGCTTTTTTTGTATCCATTGGCACTTCAACCATTTCTGTGCAGTTGTAAAGCCTTTGCTAATGTATAGAATCTTGCTTTATTTTTGTATTCATTTGTGACCATGTCAAATAATGAAAACATTTTTACAGTAGGCCACTTTTACAGTAGGCTACATATCAGATATTAATTCTTGTAAAGATTCAAATTGTTAACATATATTTCTGATTGTTTATCCTACTGTAATTTGCATGCTAGCTTGACCAGCTGGCTGTTTTTTTATGAAGTTGCCTGGTGTGTTCTTTTTGTCTTTGATGGGTAGGTAGGCCTACAATATATAGGCCTACACTATACTGTTAGGTTTGGGGTCCGAAAATTAATAGGCCTACTTTATTCAGCAAGGATGCAATAAATTGATCAAAAGTTACGGTATATGTTACAAAAGATTTCTATTTCTTTTCAACCGAGTCAGTCTGCTAAGGGGTAAGTCGGAACTTGAAATTTAGGTGAATGTAAATTTTTTGACGAGCCAAACACGTCAGTAAGTAACACAATTGATGTAAGCTAGGAATAAACTTCATTATTTTCATTACGTCTTCAACATTCTGTCTGTCAGGGACGACATACCTAATACATAATTGACTCTCATAAGCATAGATTCGGAAATCACAGTTTCCACAAAAATATTAAGCAGCACAACTGTTCAGCATTGATAATAATAATAACAGATTTGTGAGCAGCAAATCAGCATATTATAATGATTTCTGAAGGACACTGAAGACTGGAGTAATGATGCTAAAAATTCAACTTTGCCATCACGGGAATAAATAAAAATGTAAAATACATAAAAATAGAAAACAAGTCATTTTAAAATGTAATATTTCACAATATTACTGTATGTTTGATGAAATAATTGCAGCCTTATTGAGGATGACAGACTTTCAAAAACCTTTTAAAAATCTGACCCCGAACTTTTCAACGATATTGTATAACAATGCAAATTATGTAAATAAAGGCATAACAAATATTTTTGCCCTGCTAAAATTACCAACATATTTTGGGCTTTGATCAGGTTGTAGGGTTGACTCCAAGCTATTTAACCAATCCTGCTCACTCTTTTTTTTTTATCCAGCAAGAGCACATCAGTTATTCAGTGAGAAAGAATGTAGTTTCAGATCAACACCAGTATAGCAGGGTGGGACCAATATAAATATTCATGGTGCCCTGTGCAGTTTGTTTGCTCTTTTTGTTCAGAAAGGTCACATACACAAACACTACAAATGGTGAAAATGATTTTTATATCAGCATATCCAAATTCTTCACAGATAGCTGTATTTACAAGAACAAATCCAACATGAAACGTGAGTCCTAAAAATGTAAGTTCAGGATATACATTAGTCTTTTTCCACAGCCTTACGGGAATTAAACCAAACTGTGGTTTATTAACTGGAAGTTATCATTGGGGAACTGTTGTATGGAATACTGAGGGCTTCCTTGGTCTCAGCTATACTGCATAGAACAGAACACAAACATTTATACAAAAAAGGAAACATGTACACAGAAAATGGAAAGATTCAAGCATAAAAACAAAAAAGATTGATGTCCAGTCCAGTCCAGCCCTGTGTGAATCCAAACAAGACACAGACATTAACCATGTAATGACAAAAAAAAAATGTTGAAAAAAGCTTGTTCTAGGAGTCTTCTGCTTCCTTTCATGGCTTGCTTGAGTTTGTTTAGATTTGGAGTAGGATGACATCACTGTAGTTCACCAAAGACAAAATGAGTAGAAAACCAAAGAGCCGGTGGAGAGAAGATTCTGTTTAGGTAAAAACTTGTCTGTGCTGTCCTCTCACACACTCATTGTCATGTTTGGAGAATACTGCAAGAAGACAAGAAGGTATTTTAAATGGCTGGTGTACTTAACAAACGATCCTATGGAAAAATCTTTCTGCATACATACACTTTCACTTTGAAATGGGTTGAGGAAGTTGCCACTCATTTCTCCATCATCTCTTGGTGTGCCAGGCTGATTATTCATGCTGAGGTTTCCTGGTGAGCTCTGATGAATGTGAAAAAAAGAAGAAGTTTGAGGACAGCAAACACATTGGATTTCAGAGAAATGTACGTCAGAGTTTAAATATCTTTCAAAACGGTACAGAAATATCCCATACCTTTGGGAGGCTTTCAATGTCACCAGATCCTGTTGAATGGGGGGAAAAGGAAAAGACTAAAGTATTGAATGAAAGGCGAGAATGTGCAAATGGATGGAAAATATGTTTATGTTTGGCATTGTGCTGTGTCAGTTAAATCTGTCACACCTAATGAACCATTTATATGATGAGGCTCCATGCCTGCCATGCTGCCTATTGGGCCATCGGCACCTGAACCTAAAGGAAACTGAAAGGAAAAATGTCATAAGAATAACAAAATATACTTCTTATGTTCTTATTTTAAAACAACTCACATTTGGTCTGTTTCCATTTGGAGGGACTGAGCTGATCATGGTGTACATGTTGTCACTCGAATTGTTTGACTCTAAAATCAATATTGTACATCACACATTAGTTTTTTCATTATTAGCTAAAGATAAAATAACCGACTTGGTATGGGTAAACAATGCAGTGTGTTTCCTGCTGTCTAGCATTTACATAGGCTGCTACTAGCTTCTATGCTAATGCTAACTGAAATAGAACCATGATTGTTGACTGATGTGAAACACTGCATAACATCATAGCAGCAACTCACAAAAATATTGATTACGCATCACTGCTGATGGCAATGCTGTTAGCAAATGTTGCTAAAGGCTGGAATTCAAATCTAAACAGTCATATCTTAAAATCTGTTCAGTATTGTATTGTTTAGGATACAAGACTGAACCGATGTTAAATCACTATGTATAAAAAACACTTGCCGACTTTGTAAATAGTCACAGAGAAAATCTGGGCATCATACACTAAATGAATGAGGATCGCACACTACCCAACTTTCAAGTCATTCAAAAATAAACTTATTACTAGGAGACGAGTGACAAATGAAAACAATAATGTCCTAAAATCAACTCAAAATATCAAACATGCTTGATATCCACCAACTGGATGGAACACGACACCGTTTTCAATGAAAAAATGGAAAACTTTATGTGTTTTTGCAGTTCATTCACATGACAACGGCTTTATGAAAACGCAAACTTCTGAAAACAGGATTCAAAGTGCAAGTTATCGTCTCCGTGTAAAATACAAAAACGGGAGTTTGTGAAAACTGTGACGTCATGCGTGTGAATATTATGTGTTCAGTCTATATGGAGTGTAGTGTTTCTTTACAAAAGTGACATCGGCAACTACTGGCCTGGCAACGTAGTACGGCGTTTTTAATCATTTTCACGGATAGGAAAGGAAGAACTTCTCCGTTTTAAAAACATTGTTGTTGTGTAAACGTACACTGAGTCCTAATAGGCCGTGGGCTGGACCCTGAAATATAATATATATAATATATATAATATAAATATAACAAAAAAAAATTTACCTGCAGGACTGGGCATGATGGGTGTCCCGGGAGGTCCGCCTCCTGCTGGGGGACCCTGCAAACACACTGATTCTGCTTATTCACATGACCAGAGTGCGTTACCCAAAGTGTACCTAACAAGGTACTGTACCAGAGAGACAGCATTACATTACCTACCGAATAACTGCCTGGAGACGCAGATGAATAAGGGATCTACAGGGAGAAAGAAAATGTACTGGTATTTATATTGTTTAGGATGCAAGACTTCTGATCAATTATCATGCTATGTTGAGAACTAACCGAATTGTTATTTGGAGGATTGGGCCATGGTCTTCCTCCTGCAGGACCCCTTTACACAACAGCATACAGATATATAGTTTTATACAATTTAAACAGTACAACAATAGAGATTCTGACTTAATGATTGCTGAAGTATTTAGGGAATGATGATGAACTGTGGTCTGAATACAATTACATGTTAATCCCAGGCATTCCAGGTCCCAATATGGCATTTAGGGGAGGTCTCATCCCACCACCATAGTTCTGGAACATCAATTATACCCAATGATACATTACAATACACTCAAGTTTGTGAAAACGGTAACATGCTTACACACCTTTACCTAATTTCCCATGGATAACTCACCTGTGGTCCAATAGGAACCATTCCTCGAGGGGTCATCCGCTGCATAGGCCCACTCATGTTGGGATGGCCTTGCAAATGGGCAAATTAAGCAAAGAGGTTGCTTCATATATGCCATAGTTTTATGTATTATTATGGCTGTTTAAGGAATCTACAGACTTTTTTCACAATTTCTATAATTATAGAAAGAAATCTGGCAATTGTTGAATGGATTTAATAATTACATTTGATAGCTGCGCACACCATCAAATTAGCCTAAGTATTTCATTTAAAAAAACACACAAAGGGAAGAAGTAGAAGTGTTGACTTGATCATAAGAGTTGTTAGTATTTTAAATACCTGGCTGTCTGGTAGGATCCATCCCACTGGGAAGCAGAGGCTGGTTCCCAGGCCCCAAAGCCTGTTCAAAACCATTCAGACTGAAGTATCAGGCATTATAATGCGAGGAATGAAAACCTAGTTTCCGAAAGCAGAATATATTAGTGAAAATACCTGATTGGGTATTCTGAGAGAGCCTCTGGGCCCACCTGGGTATCGAGGAGACATAAACTGCTGAGGAAACACAAGGACAGAGAACAATTGATCTATTATCTATTACATTTTCAAGAACTGAACACAAATCCTTCATGGTTCACCCAGCAGACAAACCAGAGCAACTGGCACTATACATCACACCACCAGATGGCGACACTGCATTTCTATTTTAAATCTGTTATTTAGTCTTACAGATGTTCAACTTGGTTAAACTTTATCATCAACATATGTGGCTTCAATTTATCCCTCAATGCAAAACAGTATGCAAAACCTCAATGTAAATAGATATTCTTGGTCTTATTATGAATGAATCATTGATGCTCATTATTCCATTTAGGAATTATTTTACCCAACTCACATTAAGGTTTGGCTCCATTCTGGAAAATAACACCAACTTTTTATCACCAAATCGCAATACACATATATCCTGTTTTATATGTAAATACATCAAACAATGGATGTCAAAATGGCTTGCAAACAGCATTTCACATTGACCTCAAAATGAAAAAGTACTGTTTTAACGGATGTGTAGTAAACAACGCTTTATTTGTGATGTCCAAAGCAGATATCTCAGAGGGTTGGTTAAGATGAAACCATATCAAACTGAGTGAGTTTGAGAGGAGAACTGAAAAAAGGATTGTTAGAGCTGACGGCTGGATTCTTCTGGAGTCTGAGCTTAAGACTATCAACGAGCGAATGTCAATACACATCAGGCAGGACAGCAGCTCTCAGACTGCCTGCGACAGTTAATCGATGTACGTTCTGGTGCATTTTAACTGACGTACACACAGCCCAGTGTTTATGCACTCGAAATCCTCCTTCAAAAATACCACATTGTAACAGATAATTAAACAAATAATTGAAAAGACACACGTTTTCTCTTTCCAATTAAAAAATCAAAGTATGGAAATGTTTGCATAATCTGCTGTTATAGACATCCACATATAGTTTTCTTGGCCTGAATAAATATTTAATTGCCCATTCATTATAATCTCTCCTGACTGAGCACTGTCTCCCCGGCTCAACTGTCAATCACAGAGGAAGAAAATAATTAATTTTTATACAGTATTCCACACCTCCATTATCTGAATTCATTTTTTTTTTTACATGCTGCTCGTTTGTTGTGGTATAATCCTGTTTCAGACATTTAATATAACTGTCTTCCAATGGCCTTTATCAATAAGATATTTCAATATAATGAAGGTAAGCACAAAAAGACAAACAAACTCATGTTTATCAAATCAGAGGTGTCTCAGTGCAATACTTATAATATGTGTGTGTGTGTGTGTGTACCGTACCTGGAAAAATCCCGGGGGCAAAGGCATACCGTCCCCAGGAGGACTTCCAATCACCGGACTCTGTGTTGCACTCTATAGGACACACACACACACACACACAACTCAGTTTAAATACCCACACATAAAGGACACAGGAAGATTGAGGAAGAGGAGTAGGATTTCACATGTAACATATCACTTTGAGAATAACATACTCTATAAATAACCTGAAAATCAATGTATTTTTTGAAGAGCCAGTGCAATAAACAAGCAGGAAAAAAAATATTTTCAGCACTGGTGCTGTATAATAATTAGAGCTCTTTTCTTATAAGACAAGTTACTGTACACTTCAAAATCAGATACAAAAGTCACAACACAATAAGCAGGGACATTGTGACCACATTTAGCATGAAGAGCATAAGAGTAAAAAAAAAATTAGCCCACAATTTATTTTTTAATTCTGTCATGATTTGCTCACCCTCATGTTGTTCCAAACATGTATGACTTTTTCTTCAGTGGAACACAAAAAATATATATATTTTGATGAATGTTCGTTTTCCCATTGATGTCAATTGTATTTATTTTTGCACATACAGTTACCAACATTCATCAAAACATATTTTGTCATACAGGTCATACAGCTTTGGAATGACATGAGAGTAAGCAAATCAGGATATATTTCTTTTAATTGGGTGAACTATCCCAATTATTAGCCTGTAGTTTTAAAACCTCACATCTGAGATCACGTGCCCCAGCACTGACACACTCACACATACAAACCTAAGAGTTGAACAATGGGAGGAAATATGAAACAGTGGGAAGACATAGACACTGAGAAGTTGCACCTCCTGGCAAACACATTTTGTCCACTAAATAATTAAAAGCACTAGTGTTGGTGTACTACAGTTTCACTGGCAGTTTAGGCTTTACTCACTGGAAATGGAACAGTTTTCATTTTAATTAGATTTTTATATATGATTCACTGAAAAGTATCTTTATATGATCTTTAGTATAAAAAAAGCCTTTATGCTTTAATATACAAAATAATACAAAAAATAATGTTATTGTAATACAATAAAAAATGCAGTTTACAGTAATGAATGTCTTATGAGAATCATCGAGAACAATTGAGAATGACAAGAAAAAAAAAAAACATAAGTAAAGCATCCAGACAAAGTAATGAGAATTTTGGTGTAAAAAGGGCTTAATTGTTGTGAAAATATCATAATATGAACCTAGCCTTCATTTTAAAATAGGATTAATGTAAAATATAGTTTCTTATGATTTTCATTTAATTTTGAGGTGAAATATGGTTTCCCTGATATTCACACAGTCACATTTTGGGGACAGTCCACAGTCATCTCCTCCATGGCTCCACCCATCCGCCCCCCTATCCACCTCCTGAACCTCCAACCCTTATTCTTCATCATGCTAATCATCTGTGGATTACCTGAGTTTGTTTAATTAAATAAACCCTATTTGTCATTTAAGATTTTTTTTGCATCTCATGATGCAATCATCATCCTCTGGACTAAACCGTGACAACTAGTATATACAAGTGCAATTCAATTTCTTTGTTTATTTTCTCACTTCTTACTTAGTACTATACACATGGCCGAAATGTTCCAGATTCTTAAGGTTTAAGCCTGCAGTACATTTCCATATTTATTAGATTTGCTCCTTCTGTCTGCAATAAGGAGGCTGCATGCGCGCGCGCGTGTGTGTGTGTGTGTGTGTCAGAGAGATTCCTCCAGTGGCTGGCTGGGTAGAGAGACTCATTTCTCTACTCATTAGAGAAACGTGGGTAGAATGGCAAGTCCCATTGTCTAGACTTTCTCATCAGCTGCATCAGGACAACATAGTCCTCACACTCAGAGAGAGAAATAAATCTACTCAGCTCAAATTAGAGAAACAAAAAAACATTTGATCCAGGTTATAAGAACTCTTACACAGAGGATGAAAGGGGTAAAGCAAAACTGGAATTCAACCATGAAACAAACCAAAGAGTGCCGTACATGTAACTAACTAACCAAACAATCCAAAGTTAACTTGAGAGATATTGAGATATTGAAATATATCAAAATACAAAAACATCAAAATCACAAACTGAAATTCATCCTAAGTAAAGCAACATTTATAAATAAGGAAATTAAATTTAATGAAATAACAATGCCTGTTCGCTATACTCTGCCCTCTTTTGCTCTCATTCTCACATCTGTTCTTTTAAGCATGTGACTTGTTACATAAGCTCCACTGAGAGACAACAGAGATACATTATAGTGACAGTTGAACCTGAGCCATGTGTATAGGATGGGAAGAGTCGACTTTAAAGGGATACTCCACTTTTTTTGGAAATAGGCTCAATTTACAACTCCCCCAGAGTTAAACTGTTGAGTTTTACCGTTTTTGAATCCATTCAGCCGATCTCCGGTTCTGGCGGTACCACTTTTAGCATAGCTTAGCATACATCATTGAAGTGGACAAGACCATTAGCATTTCTCATTAAAAAATGACCAAAGTGTTTCGATATTTTTCCTATTTAAAACTTGACTCTTCTGTAGTTACATCGTGCACTAAGACCGACGGAAAATGTAAAGTTGCGATTTTCTAGGCTGATATGGCTAGGAACTATACTCTCATTCCTGCGTAATAATCAAGAAACTTCACTGCCGTACCATGAGTGCAGCAGGCGTAATGATATGACGCAGCGCCTGAAAATAGTTCCGTTGTGTTGACGGAAGGTGGCCTATTTTCAGGCGCTGCGTCATATCATTATCTTTACATTTTCCGTCGGTCTTAGTGCACGATGTAACTACAGAAGAGTCAAGTTTTAAATAGGAAAAATATCGAAACACTTTGGTCATTTTTTTTAATGAGAAATGCTAATGGTCTTGTCCACTTCAATGATGTATGCTAAGCTATGCTAAAAGTGGTACCGCCAGAACCGGAGATCGGCTGAATGGATTCAAAAACGGTAAAACTCAACAGTTTACCTCTGGGGGAGTTGTAAATTGAGCCTATTTCCAAAAAAAAGTGGAGTATCCCTTTAAAGCCAGCTGAGAATTGTGGTGGCAAACAATTTTCTAGTACTGAATAAGAGACAAACATGTAACAATTGTCTTTAACAATTATTTATTCCCTTGTAAGGAAAGGTCAACAGTCACACAGTCATTACAAAGTGCCTGCAGAGTGTGACAACGAATTGGGGACATCCTTCCTTCTTTATAGTCGTTCCTCCCCTAAGGTTGTTTCTCGAGGTTAAATGAAGATATGTCTTAGCCATATCCAACACATTGTTTAGTTTGTCTAACATATTTAGTCATATTATTTCCTTGAATGGAGACCTTCTGTCTCGGTCATACACTTAGTCACACATTAACTTTTGTCAGGTCATATACAAAGACATCCACACACACATATTCATAAGGATATATATAGACACTACATTAATCTAATTACCATCATATTTCTAAGATTCTATAAATATAATTAAGACAGACCAATATAACAACAGGAAATATATCAATGATACTGACAGGAAGAAAGTCTCTAGTCCTCTATTAATCTCTCTCTCGCCCCCTTCATCCATTCATCCCCTGTCATGTCGACACTTCCTGTTGAAACCCAAAATTGGATGTGGATTTATAGTAGTAAATAAATGTATAATTTCCATCATGTCCTTAATGAAATTCGGGACTTTTGCTGTTTGTGCCATTTTACTGACTGTGTCTGTTGTGATTAGTGGTGAGTTTTTTCAGAGACTCCTTTCACATTGTTGCGCCAGTATAGTTTGCAAAAAAGTGACTGTCCTTATAAGCAACTCATTGAGACATTTATTCAACCGATTCAATCAAGAACCCTCATTCATTCAGTAACTAAATAGGTGCCGCATCCAAAATCGCATACTTCCCTACTATATAGTAGGTGAAAAAAAGTATGTGACAAAAGAAGTGTGTCTGAATTCACAGTACTCATAAATGAGTGTGCCCGGATGACCTACTACTTCTGGAAAGATTCTGAAGTGTGCATACGATGGACACTTTACTATCCCATGAGGCCACGGAAGAGGATTTGTGAATGGCAGTGAAGCAACGCAACTGACGCTGGTAGGTCACGTGATAATGACATGGCGTATGTAGCACGTCCTGATCACATTTATACTAGGATGTACTTTTACGTATACAGCGTGCTTTTTTAGCGGTTGTTAAAGTCCCCCTGTTGTCAATAATTTTATCCCTTAAACCTCATCTTTAAATCACCAAAATTACATTTGAAATGTTTTTAACTGTGAAATGTTTTTTTTCTTCTTCATGGCTTAAAATAGCTTGAATGTAACTCTACACCCTTGCTTAATTTAGTACATGAATATGCAAATTACCCCCGCCTCCACTCACTCACACCAGCTCAGAGATGCACTCGCTTAACTTAAGTTACTGTAAACGCTGAACAATGGTATCGCTCTTTACAACGTCAGACACATAATGGTAATTAGTATGATTAGCCTTTTAAGCTATTATTATCAAACAGCTAATAATGTGTTGCTAATATTACACAAACCATGTTTCCGTTCACCATCTCAGTCTGCCTTCTAAAAATCAGCATCCTTAGAAACGCTTTGAACATCATAGAACGTCAGTGGAGAAAGGCATATAGTTAATCATAATAACGTAATAAACATCATATACATAATTCACCTGCTATATTGCTAAAAGTACCCGCTTTTTTATATCAACAGAAAACTATACCAGGATAACCTGGCTTCTCGAGACTCCCCTGCTTGCAGTTAATAATATGTGACATGATTTGTTACAAGGTAGTTTGTGACGCAAGAAACACCAGAGATTTCAAACCACATTTTTGAGACTGTCTTTGGTTTACTGCAGTTTTAAGGAAAAAATACTCCGCAATGGTGTTGACTTGTGAAGTTGCACATGGTTTGTCTTAAAGCATATTAAAAAACACAACATAGACAACATGACATCATGACTTTGCGTAAACATACACGCCACTTTCAAGTCAAGTGGCGTGTTATCTACACACATTTTGAGCTATCCGCGTGTATGTCCACGCCGAAATCTTTTGCGTGTATGTCTACGCCATTAAACGTCCGAGTGATTCCGCGTGTATGTGTACGCCGTTAAATGTCCGAGCGAAACGAAGCAAAATCTAGATCTACATCTGTGGAGCGATATTTCTTTTCCTAGGATGGTAGGGGAACACTCATAAATGGTATTAACCCCAGTGACGGGTAGGTTTAGGGACGGGGTTGGGGTAGGTCATATATTTATATATACATAATACAGTAATATAACGTTAAGTCAAAGGCGTTGATAAACACGCTGAAAAGCGATTATGCGTGTTGATAGCACGCCAAAAATGGAAATACGAATTGGCGTGTCATACATACGCCATTTCATGAGATCAGTCTGACATAGACAACATTAAAAACTTTATTTTCACCTTAAGTAATTACTTATTCAAAATAAGGACCTACTAAAGAGAGCATTTATGCATTTATGATGCAGCCACTGATTGTCTTTATGAGTGAGCCATTGAATCTTTCACTCAACCGATTCGTTCATCAACACTGAGTCATTCAGGAATGCTACTAATGTTTCTTGGAGGCTCAACGTTTGATTCTGCTGTGGCTTTGTTAGGAACCATTTTAAATGCTGGAGCAAAAACAAAGTATCTGGAAACCTTGTGTCTTACGACCTTGTGTTTTATGACCAAGTGTCTTACGTCTAGCACATGATACGTGTTCCTACACGTGGAGCTCAAGTTCAGCATTTAACGTCACCATGAAATCAACTGTGCCTTCATAATCTTTAATCAAAGTCCTCCTCTCTCTTGCAACAACATCTCTTCTCTGATGACGTTTACGGCGCGAGGGCAGGACAACCTGTTACTCACATGAGATCAGATCAGAGCAATAGCAAACCACAATGAACCAAAACAGAATCAAGCCCCACTCAATATTTGTTCCTGTTCAAGAAGCCGTTTCACTCAGATATACGTCACAATAGGGAGGAAAAGATGATCCCAACTTCCGTATCATGATGACTTTAAAAACACAGTTTCACATTCCACTGCCCTGCGTTTGGCATTTTTAAAAACGACCCCTTAAGGTACAACATTGGAATGGTTACTTAGAACACTTGTGTATTAAGAATGGAGCCAGAAGCCTCCTGGGTAATGATGCAGTCCTATACCCACCAGACAACCTTTCCCATAATATCTGCAGTCTAATCTAATGCAGCGATGAGGTCATCCTCACCACATCTCCTCTCCTGCTGTCTCTCTCTCTGCTGGAAACATTCTCTGCTTTACAGATGGCAGACGTTAACCAACCGGTGTGTTTAATTCTGTGTGTGTGAGAGGGGGTTACTTCAGGACAACAGTGTTTTCAGTTAACCCAGCTGCTAACTCACACCACCCTGAGTCCACCTCTCTGCCTCTGGAACACGGCCAACCAGACATTACAGGAACCTCTAAGAATATGTGTGTGCAATTCAGTTGTGTGTAAAAGTACATGGCTCATATTATGCATCAGCCCATACTGAGATTAACTACACAATAATGATTAAATGATTCACCCCATCATGCCAATCACCTTTCACACTGGCCCAAACAACACAGTGAGACATATTGAAAACATGTAAACGTTTTTTTGTTGTTGTTGTTGTTGTTGAGAAAATAGCCTGTTAATTTTAGCAGGTCACTTGGCACACTTTTTTTTAGACTAGAAATGTTTATTATTTCTCAGCAAATCTTGATAATGCAAGATGATATGATATGTAATCTTGAAAAATATTGTGTAAATAAATATTTTATTTGTATTATTTTATTGAGTATGTCTATGTGGCGAGCAGGCGTTCCCTCACGTCCCTCGGCCTCGTCCTGCTCGCCAGAGTCATGCAGTAATGTCACAGTATTATTCAAAATATAACATTATTATTATCATCATCCATAAGAAGTGCTAACCTCATTTCTGTCAAGCTAAAAATGTGTTAAATAGCTTCAAAACATGGAAGGAAAAATAGACCACTAAGCCATGCATGTCAGATCTTATTAGAACAATGAATTAAGAAAGTCATTGATTGAACTGCACATTTTAAAGTGAAAATCTAAATCTGGAGCACCCCGATTTTCTTTGGCAAGAGATAAATGTTTAAGATAAACAAAGATCAAAAAGCACATGTAGGCTATACTATTCAGTGTAGCAGCAATAATCCAAGCTTGAATGTGGGTACACTGTGTGAAATATCTCTCTCCATTCAGGGGTGAAAATCTTCATTAACATGCTTGAATAGGCTGCATAATATTATAAGCTATTTCATGCTGTCGTGCTTCCCCTCTTCCTCTCATGTTTAATTTGCTGCTGTTTGTGTTCTACTCTGTGCGAACACAAAGAAAATGAAAGTGCAGATGAGACTAGCCCTAAGCCAGACAGGAGAAAATCACTAGGGAATATGAAGGATGTGAATGTAAAGACAAAAGCTTATCAGAACTTGACACAGAATTTGCTCAGGATTTGCTGATTTATTAAATGGTAATGATTAATCAAATGGCTTGTAGTTTTAGCTACAAACTTCAGTACATATCTACAAAATTCATATATTCAGTATTTAATAGAGCATTCCATGATTGTCAGGAATATCACAGTGTGATTTTAGTAGTGGATAATATATTGCATTTCTACACACCCTATACCATCATATTGCATTTATGTTTTAGTATATTCAACCACAATCAAAATGAGTTGTTCCTCATCAAGTCCCTTGCCGGTAACACTTTACAATAATAGTACATGAATAATCATGTACTAATACCTGAATTAATAATTACTTTACTATGAACTAATGATGAGTTTAGACATGTACTAATGAGGAACTAACCTTAACTACGACATGAGTCATATAAATTCCTGCATTAATATACCATCTTAACTACACGCTAGTACATGCTTGTTAATTAATGCATTAATTAACATTTCGGGGTAAACTAAATCAAACTTGCTCTAGAAAATGGACACATTTTGTGGCCCAAAAGAAGAGCAAGAACCCTAACTGACTAACAACCAACTGCATTATGATATAAAGACAGTAAACCAATCCATAAAATAACCACATAAATAACCGTCATCTGTGCTAACACTGATTTTAATTTGGAAAATTGCATCTGTAAATGAATATGTTATTGTAGGTATTTCACTCTTGATGGAAGCAGTGGAATCACTTAAAACAGAATGAGATTAAATTGTTTTTAATGATGAATGCATCATTGTGTGTTCAATGAGTAAGGTTAAACGTAAACATTGCAAGACATCTAGTGTCATTCACTGATGTTTTGTGACAGTTGCTGGTGTCAAATTTATGAACAATTTTACATTGTGCCCTTTTAGTACATCTTTCTTCTGATCTAGAACATGTTTGATTTAGTTTACCCCGAAATGTTAATTAATCCATTAATTAACAAGCATGTACTAGCGTGTAGTTAAGATGGTATATTCATGCAGGAATTCATATGACTCATGTCGTAGTTAAGGTTAGTTCCTCATTAGTACATGTCTTCACTCATCATTAGTTCATAGTAAAGTAATTATTAATTCAGGTATTAGTACATGATTATTCATGTACTATTATTGTAAAGTGTTACCAATTTGCCACCATATATTTTCAGTTTCCAGGTTGACAGTGAAATATGTAGTTCAGTCATGAAACTCTAGAGGGCGCAGGCTGATAGCTCCTTTACATGCAATCTGCAAGCAATCACATCATTACCGCATGGCGCAAGCTGATTGGCCTCTGTTGATCATGCAACCAATGAGATTGCTTGCTCAAAATTTAAATAGTCTAGTTCATCATTTGCTGTAAGCTAGTCCTGCAGCATGCTATACAGAGTAGGTCTGAACGATTCATCGAAATCGAATAGCAATCGCGATTTGAAACGTTGCGATCAGCTAATCGTAAAAGGCTGCGATCTGGATGAATTTTGGGGAAAAAAAATGCTGTGAGTCTGTCCTAATGAAATAATAAAAATACATTTCTCTAATGACAACAATCATTATGATTCTAATTTTGAGCAAAATAATTATCAATTTAACCATTATGCAGCATTGACAAAAACTAGATTAAAGTGCTCAGACTAAAACTTGACTAAGCAAAAACAGGACACGGTTGACTAAATCTGATAAAAACTAAAAAGTACATTTGACAGGACTAAGATTAAATTAAAAACAAATTGCTGACAAAATGAACACTACTGCATCTGCTAGACTACAAGGTGGAATCGTGGAATAGTCTACAGTTAAAGGCATGTTGTACTCCTTTAATTTAGAGTGTGTGCTGCACACTATTGAGATGAAGCTTGACTTAATATCGCAATATCTCTCCGAAAAATTGTAAGTAAATATTTTTCCCAAATCGCACAGCCCTACTACAGAGTTCTTCTAGAACCCTCCACCTCCCCCAGCTCAACTTGCCTAGATCTGCTATGGGATGATTTATGTATGTCTATTCATGCAGCAGCAGCAACATATCCTATATGCTCACAGCAGCGTGTCTGTGTATCGATTAGCAGTAGCAAGTCCATATTTGCGCTGCAGCAGCAACATCAGCGTAGCAGATCTGTTACTTACGATCTGCAATTCAGACTATGAGATTGCATGACTGGACACAACTGTTGCATAAGTAATTAACCAGAATATGTTGTAAGTATTAAAACATGGTTTAGTAGTTTACTTCACTTTGTGTACTTAGTCTGAACAGTCTGACCTCTCATCACCAACTGTTGTATAAATGTATTATAATTTGATTTACTCGTCTGAGAAGAACATTGAGATCATTTAAAGTCTAAAAAAGATCAATGATCAGTCACTAGACTGAAGATTCAGCTTCATGTTATATTTAACGATATGTAATGCAATGATAAAATTGTGTGTCATCTCATCTATTCGAAAATGTATGACTATTTAAAATTGGAACTATTTAATATGTGAACTATTCCGCTACGACAGGTGACCCACTCTGATGGAGCAACTGAGGGAAAGGTGTAGCCCTATTCGGTCAAAATAACACTGACAAAATCCAACAGATCTCCAGAGTTTCAGGCTTCATTCAATTTGTGTAAAAGAACAGAAAGGCAACAGAGTACCAGTCATTGTCTGCTGTTTTTTTTTTTTTTTAAACAATGTGGGAGAGTGGGTAAAAATAGAGTGCGTTTATGATTGTCAGGGAAATGGAATGTCCTCGTTTAGGCAGGAGAGAATAATCTGAAAAGCACTTACAGCGCAGCAGTAATATTTCCATGCTAAAAATGGCAGTTAAACAATGGAAATCAATGCGGGTTGAGTCACTGGATCGTTCATCAGGATTTAGTTACTTTACATTTTGGACTTGTATATTAAGTGAGAATATTACAATTTGTGTTATGTAAAATTGTTACTGTTGTATTGCTTAAAAGCACATAAATATAGAGACCACAATTTTGCAACAAATTTTATTTATTTTATTTAAAATATATTAATAAATGATGCGAGTATAATAATAAAAAAATGTATTAAATAAAGTGTAGGCATATTAAATAAAGAAAAAAATCCCTACAATAAAATTGAATTTATCTATTTATCTCTCATCCATCCATCCATCTATCTATCTAATATATACACTCTATATATATATACACTCCCCTAAAGGATTATTAGGAACACCATACTAATACTGTGTTTGACCCCCTTTCGCCTTCAGAACTGCCTTAATTCTATGTGGTATTGATGCAACAAGGTGCTGAAAGCATTCTTTAGAAACGTTGGCCCATATTGATAGGATAGCATCTTGCAGTTGATGGAGATTTGTGGGATGCACATCCAGGGCACGAAGCTCCCGTTCCACCACATCCTAAAGATGCTCTATTGGGTTGAGATCTGGTGACTGTGGGGGCCATTTTAGTACAGTGAACTCATTGTCATGTTCAAGAAACCAATTTGAAATGATTCGAGCTTTGTGACATGGTCCATTATCCTGCTGGAAGTAGCCATCAGAGGATGGGTACATGGTGGCCATAAAGGGATGGACATGGTCAGAAACAATGCTCAGGTAGGCCGTGGCATTTAAACGATGCCCAATTGGCACTAAGGGGCCTAAAGTGTGCCAACAAAACATCCCCCACACCATTACACCACCACCACCACCAGCCTGCACAGTGGTAACAAGGCATGATGGATCCATGTTCTCATTCTGTTTACGCCAAATTCTGACTCTACCATCTGAATGACTCAACAGAAATCGAGACTCATCAGACCAGGCAACATTTTTCCAGTCTTCAACTGTCCAATTTTGGTGAGCTCTTGCAAATTGTAGCCTCTTTTTCCTATTTGTAGTGGAGATATGTGGTACCCGGTGGAGTCTTCTGCTGTTGTAGCCCATCCGCCTCAAGGTTGTGCGTGTTGTGGCTTCACAAATGCTTTGCTGCATACCTCGGTTGTAACGAGTGGTTATTTCAGTCAAAGTTGCTCTTCTATCAGCTTGAATCAGTTGGCCCATTCTCCTTTGACCTCTAGCATCAACAAGGCATTTTCGCTCACAGGACTGCCGCATACTGGATGTTTTTCCCTTTTCACACCATTCTTTGTAAACCCTAGAGATGGTTGTGCGTGAAAATCCCAGTAACTGAGCAGATTGTAAAAATACTCAGACCGGCCCGTCTGGCACCAACAACCATGCCACGCTCAAAATTGCTTAAATCACCTTTTTTTCCCATTCTGACATTCAGTTTGGAGTTCAGGAGATTGTCTTGACCAGGACCACACCCCTAAATGCATTGAAGCAACTGCCATGTGATTGGTTGATTAGATAATTGCATTAATGAGAAATTGAACCGGTGTTCCTAATAATCCTTTAGGTGAGTGTATATATATGTTAATAAAGATGAAATCCCTTCTGGAAATATGTCTAATGTAGCCATTACTCATTTTAAAGGATTATATGATTTAATGACATGTCTTTATCATTTCATGCATGACTGAGGATCATGTGGCACTTCACATGATTGACACATAAACTAAAAGTGGAGGCTCTTACTGTAATGAACTGTGGCTGGTCAGCAGTTCATCTTGATCATTCTGGTCCTGAGGTCAATATAATTTGTGGTAGATAAACAGGCACCTGACTTGTAGTTGGAGTCAGTGTTAGCGGTATTAGAGGAACAATGAGGTTATTATGCTCATTTTGAAATAACCCAAATGGGTCATTATTTCTTATAGACAAGCCTTTAATCTAATCACACTTCATATTTTTCTCTATTGCTATCTCTGTTTCTCTCTCTTTCACACTCAGAACAAAGGTCAAGATGTCCTCCTCCCTCTAGCCAAGATGACCGCAAACGCATGACATCATTGCTAATGCCTCCAGCACGGACCACCAATTTATCATCCTTCCCGCTTTTCATTCCCCTCCTGCTCTCCTTACCTCTCCTTCTATGAGCTGTACACTCACTCACAATTATCCTGCAAGGCTTCTCAGGGACCAGCTCTAAATCACTCTGTGCTGTTCTATAGGTCAGTGGATTCCTACTGGTTTTGTTTAGTTCAAAACACTGAAATGTATTAATTGGTTTATTAGTGGTTAGCAGCAGCCAATAAAATCATGGTAACAGCACAAAATCCTGTTTATCCTCATTGCAGGAGAACAAGTATTTATACTCACATAGTCATGAAAAGCTTTGGCTTCACTTGAGTGTTCACATGATTCTCTCCTCTCAGAAGCAGCACAGTAGAGGTCCCAGAAAACACTGCGATAAAAGATGCACAATATAATATAAAAAGACTAATACTGCAGTCTGAGAATGAATCACTATCCTCAGTTAATTAAAGCTCTATTTGGACGGGACTAGTTTTCCCTGAGGAAATGTTTGTTTCACAGATGTACTTTGAGATTTGTTTTATCCTGTCAGAATTAAATATGTCTGTTTTCTTGCATAAAATTGTATACATTACAAAGCATATACGGTTCTGCTAACTTGGGGATCCTCTGAGAAATTGTATTAATTATTGGTGGTGAGAATGTCTGTGATTTACACTATCATTCAAAACTTTGGGGTCAGTAAGATTTTTATTTGGAACTTGGCATCTTGGCATTTAAAAGGAATTCATATATTTATTCAGTAAGGATGAATTAAATTGATCAAAATTGACAGTAAAGACATTTATAATGTTACAAAAGATTTCAAATAAATGCTGTTCTTTTGAACTTTCTATTCATCAAAGAATCATGAAAAAAATATTAAGCACACCACATTAAGCAATAAGCACAAAATATTATCATTTTCAACATTGATAATTATAAGAAATATTTCATTACCATATCTAACCGTTCTATCACCATTCATTATCGCATAAGTAAAATGAAAAATACAACTTATGTCAAGTACTGAGAATTAACACATTAAAGAGTGCCTGATCACAAACTACACAGAACTACACTACCTTAATTAATTAATTCCCTTAATTAATATATTGTATACTGTAATATTATTATATATTTATTTTTATTTTTATGAGTTTCGTGTTGCACACATCCAGACAACATGATCTCCATAATCCCCATCCAGAATATATAAACACTCCACCTCAGTGTCAACTAGAGATCCCATGAAATTACAGACGTTCATATTCTAATAATTATTAGAATAAAGTATAAAAAACTCAAACGTATTTTAGAACACTAATCCCATTCATATAGTGCTAAATAAATCTGCTTTTCAAGCAGATAGTCTTACCACCACCATGAGTGCAAGAACCCTGGCGGCTCTCCTAATGTTATATTCTTCTCCCATCGGATCTGCCGAGTTAAACAGAGAACAAAGGAAGAGTTATAAAGATTCAGAGACAAGTCGACCTGTGCTCCCTTTGTGATTTAAACATAATTAAAGGCAAATTCTGCCACGGGGAGCTGAACTTTGAGTCAAACATGGTGCCTAGAATAAATGTGAGGGATAAAACTGAAACTTGGCATCTGTTTGAAAGAGTCTCAGTGTGACTCAGTCATTATTCAATTCAGTTAACCAACTGACACTTCGCTAAGCTCCATCCTCCTTGGTTGTTAACTTGGAAGGAATTGGACATTTTCAAAGAAATGGCAACATTGACCACTAGCAAAATGACCTACAGGTTTTTTTGCACCCAAGACTAAATGAGACGCAACAACAACAAACTACTGGAGACGGCAACAACCAGAGGTAGGGGTCTCGACTTGCATGGCTTGAGTCTGACACGAGTAGCAAATTTATGACTTAGGCCTATATGACTAAATTAAGAAAATGACTTGACTTTGACTTGAGAACCAATGTCTCTAAAGTCAACTTGGATTTGAACTGCATGCCTCGAAAATGACTTTATTATGATCTAATCCACCAAACCAAACATATCAACATTGTCATACACATTACCATGTCAAAGACTCGGAGAGTTGTAATGACAGAACTATAATTAAATAATTTAAACATTTTTTTTAAATAATTGCAACATCAATTGATAAAACGTAAGCCACAGAACCACCGGCAATGCTGATCAGAGTCTGCGCCATTTCACGATGCTGACTCTAGTTTAAACAAGTACAAAGACATTTTTTAGCTCATAACTTCAGGAGAGAAATAGTGCAGACATTGAACAAGAATGAAACTTTCTAGTGTGCATGAGTCGAACACCTGAGTGCTATCAAATGGAGTATATTTTGAAAGCCTGTGTGTTCGGGTGTACGGATACGGGAATAACTGAAGTATACTTTAGGCTTAGACCTTCTGCACATCCTTGTCCTTCTCCTCAACTCTTTCTCAAAAGACTAAACAGGAACAGAAAACACCATCCATCTTGATGAGATCATCAGTTTTAGTCACTGACCATGTGAGATGGGTTTACAGACATTAAAGCACTGATGACAGCTGCCATAAACAACATGGGTGTTCCCAACATTATCTCAATACATTGCTGGAAGAGCCACTGCTATTTTTGGGTTCAAGTCCAGCGGGAACTGGTTACATGAGCAGGGTGGCAAAAGACAGGAGTCGCAAAGGAAACCAGCCACAATGGACGGGGCGGGTGGCTTAGTCACAGAGGCTGGACTGAGTCACGACAGCACTGTCTGGCTTGTTGATGTTCACGTCTGAGTGGTGGGCCAGCCTTTGTGTTTTTACCTCTGTCATCGTGCCAGTCTCATTCCGTTTTCCCTCATCTCTCTTTGTTCTGTTCCAGTATTTATCTGATCCGCTGTCATTCGCAAATATTTACTTGACTCAGAGCTAGAACACTCATCTGCATCTGCATTTACTTCTACTGTGCAATTGTATCTTGTCAGTGATCATGTCATCAGTAAGTGAACTGTCGTGGACACCGATATAAACATCTCTTACCCAAACACAGTTCCAGAGGATGACAAGCCATTAACTTCATGTTGAAGATAAACAATGTTCATTTAGTGAGCAGAGCAAGTGGACACTCAGTGCTTAGGAGAATCTGTGTAAATAAGCGTACAGTCCCCCGCTGTATCTCCATGAGACAGTGCCATTAAACAGAAACAGTTTGCCCAGTTTCTAGTGCCAGTGTGCTTTTGTATCCAGTGTAATTAAATTAAGCTGGGATCAGAGAACAGTGAGGGTTCCATGGGAGCCGTTTACTGGTACTGTAAGGCTACATGTAAATATTATCTCCTAAAAAGTACATCACATCTTAAATTGTTCACCTTATTCACAGTAAAGGTCTTAGTAAAAATGCAAATAACTGGTTCACTTACCTCTGACAGAAAGGTCTGTGCTGATTTCTGAGCTCCCACATGTAGCAGATATTCATACACATACAGAGCTAACCTGCCGAGACAGAAAATTAAAACGATATTGAGGAAACCTACTTTAAAAGCCTCATGTCATATATTGCCTTTATCTAAGGTCCTGTTCCAATGGTTAAATAAAACTCAGTTGTTCAGTTTCCTAAAATAATTCATGAGAAATAATTATCATGCCCTCTTTGAAATAGTGAAGTAGCTTAACTTGATAGTTCAGCCAAAAATGAAAATTCAGTCATCATTTACACTTTTTCCCTGTTGTTCCAACCCCATATGGCTGACTTTATTTTGTGAGACACAAAATGAGATGTTTAGCAGAGTATTAATACTACTTTTTTCATACAGTGGAAGTGAATGGTGACCACTTAAGCTCAATTAAGCTCCAAAAATTACATAAAAGTACCCATGCAAGTCAGTGAAGCCATATGAGAGGTCTGTGTGAAAATAAAGACTGAAAGATTTAATTTGTGTTAATTCACCAAATATGAAAATGTTCAATATCGTATGTGTGTCGCGTGTACTATTATACACAACTCAGAATGAATGCAGAAAGTCTTCTATATTATTCAGGAGAAAAACAAACAGGACAACTACACTTAAGCAAGACAGGACCAGGAACAAAATGAAACACATGGGTTTAACTTTAAATACAAGGAGCAAACAAAGGGAACTAATCAAGACCAGATGAACAGAAAGATTAATTAACGGGTAACCTAGGTGACAAACTAGATCAAATAATGACAGGGAGACAGACCATAAGTGAATTAAATCACACTAAACAAAACCATGAACCTGGCAATGTGCATTTTCAATATTGCACAAATGAGATTTGAGAGTTATAGAGGGAATGATTTTTAGCGAATAATTACTTTAATTTCACTTTGTTCCTCACACAAAGCTATATCATATGACTTCAGAAGAATGTAGTCATAAGGACTTATGCTATGGTAGTTGTAATGGTGCTTTTTTGTCATCAGTCATTTTTATTTCTGGCACCCCACTTTTTGATTCACTTTCATTATATGGAAAAAATAATGTAAACTTCCTGAAACAAGAGGTAATATATTTTTGGACACACTATGCTTTTAATTGAGCCCATATCTTTACCTTCTAGATGTGTCTCATCTCATATGGTTAAGCAACCCATATGTGATTTTAATAAGGCAACTCAAGTCCTAGTTTGGATATCACAAACTGAGTTCACAGAGAGTTCAGTCTTCCATTACTATTCCATTCACCATTTCACTTTCAGTTTTACAATCTGATATGGAATTTTTAAGAGTTCTATATCTCTACGATAACATTTGGTTATTTTTGAATTGGTGAAAGTTCATTGTATAGAGGATTTTCATATTACATTTTTTTTAGTATCCTCTATGTGTGTGAGGGAACCTGAGTCAGCAGAGTCCAGCGGTACCTTATTAAATTTTTTTTTTCAGGCACAGTCAAATCGAATTATATTTCACATGTATGCAGACGAAGTATTCCCTCTCCTGCTTGTTTCTGCAGACACAACATTTGATGCACCGAACGACCTCCAAATGTTCAGAGTATGCGCATACATAAACAATATGATGAACATTCACTACAATGTATAAGACAGTGTTTGTGCAAGAGAAGAAAGTACAAGTGGAATAATGACAGAGGAACATTGGCAAACCAAGATCACACACAAGCGAGATTGAGGGAGGAGATTTGGAGATTGGAGGAATGACGGGGGGTCCTGAGCTCGTGAGAATCAATCGTCCTGAGATTGTCAGCAAACTTTCATATTCTAATGACGAAGGATAGAAAAGAGACAGAGAGATGATCTTTCCAGCAGTCTTCCCCCTTTTCTCCAAATGAGCAAAATCCAAAATCTTCAAACTGGGGCGGAAAAGAAACTAGGCTTCAAGAGTTTAAGAATAAAAGTTATTGAGCACAGACATACTTCACCAACTTTAAGATGAGATTTTTACATTTTCCTCCAATAGCCTAGACCTTTTCAGCGCATTTCCGGTTTGTATTTCAACAGCATGAAGGTAAGATCTTACGGATTTATGAATGAACCGCTCATTTTAAAATCTTCCCGGTCTACAGACATTTGTTATGACACCCGCTTCAAACATTACAATGCTCATGATAACTTTCGTTAACTCTACAACAAGTGAATCCACTTCACTAACTAAATACGCTTCGACAGCGATGCCATAGAAATACAGAACTACCGCAATAACCGAAGTTCAAAGACAAAATTCTATATGGCTGCACCTTATTTCCCTGGAGCATAAGGTCTATGATTGCCACAGTGCTGCTATGGGTTGTTATGGTGAATTCTGAATGGTAGCTAGAACATTGCTTGGATGTTGGGTAGTTGCTAAGTAGTTGCTTACTGGTCATAGTAAAAAAGTTCTCTTCCCTCAAAGTCTACAAGATTTTTTCACTTTGTTTCATTATCTGGTGAATATCACTTAACCCGCGTTTCCACCGCAGGAACTTTCCCCATGAACTAGGCACTTTGGGGTGGTACTCAGTGTGTTTCGACCACAGGAGCAGGATCTAAATGAAGTTCCATTAAAAAATTCCCCCTCAGAAAGTCCCTGCGAGGTAGTACTTTCTCAAAGTTCAGGAACTTTCGGGGGTGGGACTTGGGCATTGAACATGCTGATTGGTTGACTCCACGCAGCATTTCATTTCAACCACCATTTTTAAAAAATGTTGAGGTGCTTGCAGTCCTACGTCACCGAACTAATTAGCCTAATCTTCACTGTACTTTAGACCGTGGTGTAAACGCAGAAAGCAACAGGTCTGGGGGGAAAAAGTTCCTGGGACAAATTGTTCCACGTAATTTCGGTGGAAAACATTAATTAACAAACTCATAATCAAATTGTAAATAACTTTAAAGTACCCCTATTATGCCTTTTTGAAAATTACCTTTCATGTAGTGTGTAACATAGCTGTAAGTGAATGAAAACATACAGCAAAGTTTTAAATCTGAAAGTGCACCGTTATTGTTATTACAAGTTATTGTCTTTCAAAAGTAAAAGTCGACTCTGGGTCAATGAAATGAATAATTTTTCAAAAGAGTCATAAGCCGTTTCGTTGTGACGTCAAGACGAAACATTAGCATATTGCCCTTCCACTTATTGCGCACGCAGACACCAGGGAAAACTTGAACCTCAAACCGGCAGCTGATTCCTGTGGATACTGGATAGCATCATATCGAGAAGACCCTGTGCTCTACAATGTGAAGGTAAAGCCAGTTTTTTCCACTGCCCAAGGATGAGCATGTGAACAATAAGTGGTTAAAATTAATCTTTACCACGATATCACAGCAGTATAATCCTAAACTTTTGCTGTGTTCCCTTTATTTTACTGACGACTTCTCAAATATCGGAGTTCAATGCAGGATTTGCAAACCGCTTGCTCTTGAAAAATGGTGTTTAAAATACTTAGTTTTGAGTTTTATATTGTGTAGGTCTCCTGCTAACTGGTTAACTCACATTATTACTGTCTTACTGAAATACTTCTGTTGATCAGCTGTGGGCCACTATTACCTAAAACTGTCTATTAATGCAGATTATCTGTCGTTCTCACTACTTTGAGTAAAGATTAAGCATGGAGCAAGATTTGTTTTACCAACGTTTATATTACATCAGTCATTCACGCTAGAGCTCGGCTAATGTTAGCCTGGTAATACCAGACTCTGCTACTTCACTTTGCTTCGTACACAGAGTCTGGGATAGCATAATAGAGAAGTGTTTTCTCTCTCGCTAGGGGGCGCGTACTGAAGTTTAAAATCATTGGTTACCCGTAAGCCAATCAGATAAGTTTGTTTATGACGTATGTTATGCGCCGACACAGCCGCATCGAACCACAGACATCATGCATCGAACTCAAATCTATGATCGAACTTCCACTGTAAACACTTAATGATGCGAGCGAAATACCCGAGTGAACATGGCTGTAAACGACTTTTTTGATCTGTGAGTGATGTAATAGAATGACTGCTGCGCTTGACAGGGCACAAACGAGCAGAGAGAGAGAGAGAGAGAGAGAGAGAGAGAGAGCCCCGGCCGCGCGCGCGCACTCCCACGTCTACAAACAACACGAGCGCTGTCTTGCTCTCTCTCCCTCGCGCATATTCATAAAAATCAATCGACAAGATAGTAAGAGGTCGGAAGACCGCGGTTTCACGTGGAGCATTTGGAGATTTTTAGAGATTATAGACTCTAGGAACAACATCTCAATGAACAACATCTCAACTATAAAGGCCTGTCTCATATAAGTTAGACGCCTATCTCAAGTACAAGCCGGTGCAGTTCGACGATTTGGGCAAATAAAAGCCCGGGCTATTATTTGAAGTTTTACGGTATTTAAGACCTGGAAAAGAAAAGAGACACTGACCTGTCAAAAGGCTCCCCAGTTTCTCGCTGACGATCGGTAATAGTTGATAAATTAAACTTTTCCCAAAGGGAGTAGGGCCACAACATCACCTCCATTCAAAATGTTTAATACACACTCTTCGTGTTCGGGCTTCAGTTTGCTAATGCAGGGAATATTCTCCACAACAGAGCGAATTGCATCCGCGTCTCCATATCAGCGGTCGTTTTCGATTTCCCTGACCTAATCTTAAACACGGCGCTTACCGACTACGTCACGGCTTTCAGCCCGCCCTCTGTTCGTTGATTGGCCAGGCTGTTTTCAGGCCGGTGGAAAACAGAAAGATAGGCTGCTATCTCAGACTGACTACAGGAGCGAAATGAAATTAGCGGAAGTAGGAAGTCTGACGTAGTCAGGCTAGGCTAATGTATGCACTGTTATTGATACAGTTTTCACATGTTCACCGCAATAAATTAGAAAAATACTCGGTAAATAAATAAGTACAAGTAAAATAATCAGTTTGTTGATGGACATGCACTTGTTAATGCTGATGGTGAGGAATTACAGTTGCAACATCTCATAATGTACCTCAAACTAAGTAGCGTATCCCTGAGAAACGTCCTGCTCGAGTTGTTCTTGTGATGGAGGTTCGGGTTGAATGAATAGTTCTTCCAATGTTTCATCATCGGACTCGCGCTCGGATTGATATGGTAAAATCGACGTCATTGTTCGTTACTGTGTTTAGTTTACGGTGTAGGAAGCCTCAGGACACGCAGAGCTAATGTTGTTATGGCAATGGGCGTTTTTGTTTTCGACACGCGCGATGTACGCGGTAGACCAATCACAACAGACTGAGCCTTCTGGCCAATCAGAGCAGAGTAGCTCACGGAAAGGGATTTAGAAAGGTTGATTCATCTGACGAGTCTTTTGAGAATCATTGAAAATGTGGTGATGTCCAAATGTATTTTATGATAAAATGAAACAGTTTTTTGACCTTTGATGCATGTAAACCTGTTGTAGGAGACTCCAAAACAACATTAGGAAACTTTAAAATAGCATAATAGGGGCACTTTAACAACTACATTTGCACTTATTTAGTTCAATAAAATTACCATGTATATATAAAAAAAGACCTCACAGCTCAAGACACTAGCTACAATCAATATGAGAAATGATATAAAGAGAGGTAATAATGACAGAACAGAACAGTGGCAAGAGTGCATCATTAACCTCATGCTGCGTCCTCATCCCATCAACACAGCGTTCTTTCCCATTCTCCAGAACTGACAACATCTTTATTGGCTGCTATACACTCGCTAGATGCAAACAGATTCATTTCCCAAGAGACATTAGAGAGCGGGGAGCAATCGAGTTTGAGGGTGATCCTGTCTGTGTGTGCATTTGTATCATTGGGACAAATCTGTCTATGGGTGTGTGTTTGACACATTACTGTAGGTGCAGTGAAAGAGAACAGGGGATGAACACAGAAAGACAAATATAGAGATGGGTAGAAGAGGAGAGACAGGAAAGCAGGAACTCATAAATGATTAATGATGAGAGCTGAAAAGGAGGAAGGAGAGTGACATGAGGATAATGGGGGGGAAATGATCGCAACCATGGTTTGTAAATAAATAGCTGACAGATTACAAGTCGCTTTTATTTAACAAAACAGTGTGCATGAAACATCAGTATCTGACATCTTTAACTAAACATTTGAAACATTATACATTAATACACATTATGGTGGTTTTGAGCTTTGATGTGTAGCCAACAGACAATGGCGGAATACAGGGATGCATATTGCAGAAGATACAGTATAATACATTATATAGGCTACATACACACAAGCGTTAAGAAATTAGTCAGTAAGATTTTTTTGTCTCTTATCCTTACCAAGGCTGCATTTATTTGATCAAAAATACAGTAAAAAGAGTATTTTAGAAAAAAAATAATTACCATTTAAAATAAGTTTTCTATTTTGATATATTTTAAAATGTAATTTATTCCTGTGATGTCAAAGCTGAATTTTCAGCATCATTACTCCAGTCTTCAGTGTCACATGATCCTTCAGAAATCATTTGAATATTCTGATCTGCTGCTCAAGAAACAGTTTTTTATTATCAATGTTGAAAACAGTGCTGCTTAATATTTTTGTGAACAGCAAGTTCAATAGAACAGCATTTATTTGAAATAGAAACTTTTTTTGTAACAATGAAATGGTCTTTATATCACCTTTGATCAATTATATAAATCAATTTAGTTGTGTACATTTATTTCTAAGCAAATCTCTAAGTTCATGGCTGAATTTTAAAATGGTGTAAGTTGGAAAAAAATCAGCTTGTTTGGAAAAACACTGCTGGGAAAAATGGAGCTATGAAAGAATAACAGAACAATTTCAGAGGGGAAAAGGCCATAGGTAAGTCTAAGGAATGAAACTCATATCCTGTGTTGACAGAACAATGCTACATTCCTTAGCCTATTCTGGATTAATTAAGATGCTCTACTAGGTTAATATGAATATAGTTTGCTTTCATCTTTATCATAACGTGTCAATAAAACTGAACACAGAAATAATTTTATAAAAAATAAAATACAACATAGCTTATAAGTGTATGTGTTTAATATTTTTAAGAAATGGTGTTTGACTGGAGCATGCATGTAGATGGTGAAAAATGTGAACAGTCTGAATGAAAACCAGGAGTTCAGGGGTTTAGACCAAAGCATGCTGCACAACACATCGAGAAACAATGCCTTTCTCCACGACAACAGGAAATGCCAGCTTATCTTGCAGATGAAAGCATGGAGAAAATGTGCAGCTCTGGAAAAGAACTTACAACACACAATCTTAGCAGAAGATCTTAGTCAAGTTTACAAAGAGAAATAGACCAAAGCGACAATAATGGACAAACCGCTTAACTTTGTTGGATTTCAAACAGGTCAAAGGACGCATGGAAAAACTAAAGGACATAACACAGGCTGTGTGTGATTTGTAAATAAAAAAGGAAGGCTGTATTACACACAGGCTAAAGACAGAGAGAAAGACTTCTAGCCAGTTTCTAAGCCATGCCGTCACGGTTGCTTAACCTTGCAGTAGGGCCAGTGTGATGCCGCTTGCATATCAATGATGGAGAGAAATATCAGAGGCCAACCACTCTGCGGAAAAACTGTTCCAGCAGCAGGAACGACAACACCAGTCATTCTCTTAACTGAACAAAACAGCAGAACAGAGAAATGACACTTTTCACCACATTATACAAAGAGAACATATATTGAAAAGCATCATTCTGGAACTTTATAGTAGAAGTATATAAAAAGTATTTAGTGAAACAACATTTTTTAAGTATATGTATGCAGGATTCAAAATTAACTTTTGGCCACAATGGTCAGTGGTTTAAGACAATTTATGGGTCATAAATATTTCTCCAACTGTAATGAAACTGTAAAAATGTTTTCGAGGTGCTCAAACAGTAAAGAGCATGATGCTGCTGATGAAACACCAAGGTCATGGGTTTGAGTTCCAGGAAACAAGCAAAAAAAATGCTTGAATGCAGTGTTAATTGTTTTGGATAAAAACATCTGCCATTCTGATTTTGTTACATTCTTTTTTGTTGTGGCAGCTCAAATGTGTATTCCACATATGGAGTTCTGGAGAGGAAAAGAATTCAGGCATTCTAGATAAACATCCTATGGTACATTTTCCACTGAGCTAAAAGCTGTTGGAAGACACGTTGTGACAGGTGTTTTCTTTAGTAGACAGTTTTATGTCTTTGATTTGAATGGCTCAGATCACTTACATCAGTGAGAGTTTAAACCATATTTTGTTGTAGTTCCTTATAAAGTTACAGCCCAGCTGGCATTTTATTTACTTACCAAAGCCAATTTTTACTCACTTTTAGCAGCTGTCAAATGTTAATTTGGGACCTTTTATATAGAGAGTGAAGCCCTAAAACCATAGAGAGTTTTGAGAATACTTAACTATGGAAGTCTAACCGCAGTGGCTATCTAGGTTAAACTGAAACTTATAGGGGAGTTTTAGTGAAGATTGAACAAATGTGACTCCTCAAACTGAGATAGGCCTACAAACCATTGACTACAGGGTGAGCTTATCAATATTTGCTGGTCTTTACAGCTGTCTAAAATCAGAGCAATTTCTAAGTTAAGATGATGCTTAAGATTGCTGTTCAAGATACAAGTTTTACCTTCACTATAAGTTTTTTTTAATCCAGTTATATTATTCAACTGTTATTCTTCAAATGTAGAGGATAAACTAAAATTAAAGTTTAGACAGAGATAGGCCCTCCTCGGTCTAAACTTGCTAAGGGATTGACAACACCCAACATACAATACAAAGACACCACCTTCCACACTTTATATAACACCTAAATCCATGTTTCACAGTCAATGCTTAAGCCTATAGTTCTAAAATGCATGATTGAGCTGTTTAACTGAAATCAACTTGCATTGACATATCTTAAAATATGTCAGTGCCATTGTTTTTCTCAAGATGCACACCAGTAACGTTTTCTAAGGCATATTTTAGAAAGCTATGTCCTAATTGAACTAACCCTGGCATAATCTAAGCCCTCTCTGGGAAACCAGGCCGTGGTCTTTGACTATTAGTTTAGTTTGGAACTGTGATGTCAGGACTGCTTGTTGGTCCATTTAAAAAAAAGCTGTTTCTAATACTTATATAGAATGTCTTAATGTGAATGAACATAATTTGAGGTGATGTTCACTTCTTTATGTGTAAAACTTAAAAAAAAAAATATATATATATATATATATACATATATCACACCACTAGACTATTAAAGTGAACAGCACAAAAGAAGAAACCTTAAAGCAGATGGTGAAACCAAAATAAATGGTTAAAGCACCTAAAACAAACAATTTCCTGTAAAAATTTATATGTAAGCCTAAAATCTTGATGTTAAAAATAAAAAAGTTAATGTCCATGCTATTTGAAATGATTTGAGCATCCTTATGATTAAGGACAAAACACCTTGCACAGGACCTTTTAAGAACAACACAACCAAGCCTGTTTTGTTTACGAAAAGTCAAAATGTCTAAAACACGGAAAAACAGCCAAGAGACATTCAGATGGTCGGCAGAAAGGTCACTCAAAATGCATAAAACACTGTGGTACAAAGGAAAAGCGAAGCAAACTATCCGAGTAAGTTAATTACGTGCGGTAGCCTATTAAAGATTCTGCCATTGCGAACGTTGAAGGAAAATAAATTATTCTTGATAATCATATAAGCGAATAGCCTACATGACCACAGGATACACTTAGTGATATATAAATATCTTCTCATAATGCAGAAAGCGCGTAACTTGAGGAGCAAAGCGTACGTTACATGCGCCAGCTGCTGTCTTAAATGTCTCCTCTGTCCAAATGTGTGTGTGCGACTGCAGATGTGACCGCGAGAATTCCTCCTCCACCGCCTGCTCAATATAACTTACTTTTCTCGGGCTTGACTGTCCGATGGCACGCTGTTCTTGCCTTTGGCGTACATGCTTGCACAGACGCGACTGTCACGCACCTGTCAACCCATCACAGCCTCCGTAGAAACAATCTCGTCACCATAGCGACTCAGTCTGCTCCTCGCCATTGGATGGACCGGGGTGAAGAACAGGCGCGCTCTCTCTCTCTCCCTCTCTCTCTGGATGTCTGAACAAATAACCTCAATGGCCACGCCCACTCAACACCTTTCTCTCTTTCGCTTTGACTGCAGCCACGCCCCCTGTGATCCGGTGAATTCGGAGGGGTGGTGCGCGATGCATGACATACAGTCTGACTGCACACAATCCAATTTATTTTGGTGACATTTTCCCCTCACAAGCCCTCAAATGTCTTAATTCCTAATTGACAAGTGACTTTGCTTTTTAAACACTTTCTCAATGGACGTTGTTGTGTCATTCTGGGGTAGGCTACATGTCATGGACTCTATTATCAAATTTTTTTTTTTTAAATCATCAACTTTTCACTTCAAGCAATGACCACTTTTATATCAGGGGACATTTCTAATTAATTTATTACAACAATCCAACAGAAAGCCTACCCATCTTTTATCTTGCAAAAATTGCAATTTCTATTCTGGAATTTGCTGTTTTTGTGCTGTCCGATTTGGTGTGAGTACGTTTTGCTCTCCAGATTAGCTCTAAAATGCATGTTTCTGTATATATTTCTTATAAATATTTGTCCAAAATAATCATTAAATTGTGAGAAAGGTGTTTTAAAAACTATTTTGCTCATGCATCTACATTAAATAATCAATTTTGTGTATGTCTGACTGAGAATTCAGTGTCAACTGAGTTACTCCCTATAAAACCCCCTATAAATCAGCAATGGTTTGTTCCAAAGTCACATGTCCAACATGTGACATAATTCCTTTTTTTGGAGGGAAATTTGAAGACAGTGTGGTAAGTTTCTCATCGTCAATATATTATCTATACTATAGTATTGTCTGCGCATAGAGTAGATTAATTGACCGTCAACTGTGTTATCAACATGTTCTGGTGAACTTGCGTCACATGTTATATTTATAAATGTGTATAGAAAGAATATAAATACATAAGTTAATAAAGGTCAACTACTAACTAAGGCCAGCAGTTTGCACGAGGCCCTAAAATGTCCGAAATGTCAAGTGTGTTACCTGTCAACTGTGTTACCCATCAACTGTAACACAGTTGACAAGGATTAACACGTTTGACAATGTTGGCAATTCAGATTCAATTTATGCTCACACTACATTATATGGAAATTACATTGTAATGCAAATCATGGTTTTAGGCAATTCCTACACTGTAAAAAAAAAAAACGTTACATTTACAGGAAAACCCTGGCAGCTGTGGTTACCAGAGTTTTCCTGTTAAAAATACGGTAGCAACGTTTTAGGTTTTACAACTTTTAACCGTATATAATTTTACAGGAATAAACCGTATTTCATTATCTGATATAATGTTAATATACTGACCTTTTGAAGTATTAATATCTGTTTTTTTTCCCATTGTAATACACTGACAGCCAACAATCACAGCAGTGATGAGAGTCATATGGTCAACCAAATCTCATCATAAGCAGCTCTTCCACAAGAAAGTTAATACTAATATACAGAAGCTGCACAGTGTCATTCACACAAACATTAAACACCATAATGGTAACTTGTTGAAATTTAAAAAATGCAATAAGCATTAATTTAACAACATTAAATGTAACATAAAACCCGATTGTACATAACTGATTAGAAAAAAACTAAGAAAATTATGAAGAAACAGTTATTTAAAAACAAAATACATCAAATGTGAAGTGTCACGCAGGGTATTGTGGGAATGTCAATTTACATTTTTTCACTGTAAATTATACAATGACTTGTTCTTTTTCACTTCCAAAAACTGTAAATTTAACGGTATTTTACAGTAAAATTTAATTAAATGTACCATTATATATATCACAGTTATTTACCGTATATAGTAAGGAAACTTTCTGTTAACCAATTAACAGTTTTTCACTGTAGCATTTTTACAGTGTTTTACCGTTAAAATCACGATCATTTTTTACAGTGTATGGATAAACTTAACTGATCTAATCCCGGCCACACTTTCTATGAACTCAGTATCCATAACATTATATACACATTATATATTCACATTTGTCAAGGGTTATAAAGCATTCAGAATTCCTCATGATTGACTTAACCCTATAATATAATAGATTTGACATAGGCTATATCCATTTCTGCTTAGTCATGTCCTTACAACATGAAGTGTCGATGCATTATAAAACTTAATTTACCTTGATAATAATATAATATATTAATTAACGTTATAATATATATTATTATAATGTGTGTGTTTAAAATCCATAATATTAAACAGAGTGATTTGCGTTTTAGGGAGATGGGTTTATCTGCTGCTGAGAAACAGCGCCAGTATAGGGCTCGGCGTGATGCTGATCCTGAGAGAAGGGCTGTATATTAAACACAGAGAGAAGTGGCATGATGGCAGAAATCTAGGAAAGGTGAAGACAATAAAAAGATTTAAGTGAGAGGGAGAAGAGAGAAGAGAAGGAAAAAAGCATACTGGAGAAGAGCCCAGCGCCACAGCAGACAGAGAAATAAAGTGATAGAGAACCAGTTTACTCCACCTCAGAGTGCTGAAGATGGCCCTCAGTCTCAAATGTCGAGGTACAGGTTTATTGAGCAGATAATATGTTCAACAACAGATTTTATTATGAAATCACAATGAAAAGACTAGAATATCAGCTTAGCATTCTTTGGTATGCATAGAACACGATCATGATGATCATGAACGCATCACATGATCAATAAAAAATAATTGATTATTTCAGACAGAGAACAGCTGGAAGGAAAAAAATCCGGAGAAGGGAGTCTAAGTTGAGATTCAGGCTCTGAATGATGCAGTAAAGTAACAGAAAAGAAAAACTGACAAATTCAGGAAAATATGTGAAAGACTAAAGCAAGATACAGACTCAACCAGATCAAAAACCTATATTAGGCTGAATGCTACCACTCGAGCTATAAGGCTGGAATGCAGAAGGGCGGAACGCCGCTGGAAGAAGGATAAATTACAGATCTCATTTGATATTTTACAGTACAATTTTTCTAAATATCAAAAAAGTGTTAGATCTGAGAAATCAAAGTATCTCTTTAATGTTATCTGTAATAATTCCCATAAGCCAGCTGTGCTTTAAGTACTATTAATGCTATTTTGAACACTCATCAAGCTACTTGTTTAGAGCCTTCTGCCGAATTGTGTGAACATTTTTTACACTTTTTTTATTGATAAGATTGAAGCTATTAGATCTAATATATCCCGTCCTTTGACTTTTTTATCCATTTCCTCTGAGTGCTCTGCTGTTTTTAATCAGTTTGTGCCGGTGTTTCTTGTCTCACTGAGGGAGATCTTTGTTAAAATGAAATTATCCTCATGTTGCATGGATATTGTTCCTCCACGTCTTCTAAAAGACTCACTTGAAGCTATTGGTCCTACTGTACTTGCGATTATTAATAGTAGCCTGGCCTCGGGAGTTGTACCTAAGTCTTTTAAACGGTAATCAAGAAATCTAACCTGGATTCCTCAGTCTTTGCTAATTTTAGACCTATCTCGAAACTTTCGTTTCTGTCTAAATTACTGGAGAAGGTTGTATTTTTGGACAATTGAATGCATTCCAAGATCTACATGGTATCCATGAAGTGTTTCAGTCTGGTTTTAAGTCCCTGCATAGTACAGAAACTGCACTGTTGAAGGTTTCTAACGACTTGTTACTTACTACTGACTCAGGGAACTGTGCGATTCTAATTTTATTAGATCTTTCGGCTGCATTTGATACAATAGACCATAAGAACTTGGTTAACACGCTTAGAAAAATGTGTTGGTATTGAGGGTACTGCGTTGGCATGGTTTAAATCGTATTTGTCGTAAAGAACTATCTCAGTTCGCCTTGGAGAATTTGCCTCCTCAACGGCTTCTTTTACGTGTGGGGTCCCCCAGGGATCCATTTTGGGGCCTATTTTGTTCGCCTTGTATTTGCTCCCTCTGGGACATATTTTTAGGAAATTTGGTATCTCTTTTCATTGTTATGCAGATGACACGCAAATTTATCTGCCTTTGAAAAGAAGAGACACTCCTACATTAGCGCCTCTATTACGGTGTCTTGAGGAAATTAAGGCCTGAATGGCACTGAATTTCCTAAGTTTTAATGAAAGTAAAACAGAAGTCATGCTGTTTACGCCGGCTGGCACTTATGAATCCTTACAGTTGGATCTTCTTGGGGAATTGAATCCACTAGTGAAACCTTATGTTAAAAATGTAGGTGTTATTATGGACTGTGATTTTAAATTGGATAAACAGATTAACTTGGTAGTTAAATCTAGTTTTTTCCAATTGAGACAACTCACCAAGGTGAAATCTTTCCTGTCTTTTATAGACTTCTTCACATTTTTATCTCATCGCATCTGGATTATTGTAATGGCCTCTATATAGGCATTAGTCAGGCCTCTCTCTCCAGACTGCAGAGGGTCCAGTATGCAGCAGCTCGCCTGTTGACGGGTAACAGCAAACACTTGCTGTTTTTAAATCTAGTCTTAAAACCTATTACTACAGTCTGGCATTTGACGCTATGTGAGATTTTCCATTACGCCCTAATACACAACATCAGCAAAACGTATGCCTCTACCAAACACAAAAATACCAGGAAGATCATTGCAGCTCTGGTGACAGACAGGAAAGATCTTGAAAAAATACAAGTTAAAATACAAACTTCAGGAGGCCCTAGCAATTTCGAAGAAACAGCTGACCAACAGTGAGAGATCCATCCTCTCCAACAAGTTAAAGTATAGATCCTTGTGTCACAGACTACACAATAAAGTGCTGTCTTTCATGACAAGGGATGAAAATAGTCGCCTCACAGCTGGAAAATCACAAACAATAACTAGAGGGAAGATAAAGAAACAGAAAAGGTTCTTAAACGACACAATGAAAAACCTGCATAGGAGATTCCTTCAGAGTCCTGACTGCAAAACCTCATATTCTTTGTTCTGCTGTATGCGCCCATTCTGGGTAGTCCAGCCATCCATTGCAGACAGGGAATCATGCCTTTGCAAGGTACATGAGAATCTTGGTTTTCTTGTAGAGA